AGAGAGGGAAGGAGGAGGGGAGGTCTCGGTGTGTGACACAACTTTTGGGGCAAGATACAATTGTAAAAGGGACTTTATCTAACAAATGCAATCAGTGTAACCTGGTTTCTCATACCCTCAATGAAGCCTCAACAATAAAAAAAAATAAATGAATAAATGTAATTTAATTTTAAATTAATAATAATATAGTTCAATTAAATACTAAAGATTTGTCATTACTTGTTCCCAAAGTACAATTTAGCAGAATTTGTTTTCAATTCCATTGCATACTTGCAGTATCATCAGTGTCCCCAAAGGCCCCAAATCAATTAGGAAACATTCTTGAGCCTTCTGGCCTCCTCTGTTTAATGCTGCAGAGGTAGATTTATGCAAAGTATATGAGCTTCTAACGCAGCCATTTCCAGTGATACTACCTACCTAATTAGTATCCAGCATTACCCACTCCAGAGCAGACAGTATGCAAAAATTTGTTTAAAAAAGCTGAAAACTGGCTTAGCACCAGCAAATAATCCTAGCATTCTTAGTCTATCCCTAGGGACACCAAACCATACAATACCTAATAAATGTCTCAGCACACAGTCCAAGAAGATATCTTCCCCATAGGGCTCATGTTGTGTCTATGAAGTCCTGGTTGTTTGCCCAAAGAGAAGACACGCTCACAGCCACAGCAAGCACAATGGTATAACAAACAGTACTCAAGTGGCCTAAGAAGATGCTAGTGACCTAGTGACCTAGATGCTAGATGCCTAGTGACCACAGAGGAACTCTGAGCAGCCAGGGCATAGGCTACCAGCTAAGGCAGGCTTACCTGGACTCAGTCACTCCACACTGCAGGTTGTCTCTTGAGAAATGGATATTTACTGAGACATCTTCCATACGCACTAAGTTTTACTAGATACCTTGGGAAGACTTTATAAGAAACAAAACAGATTTTACTCTGTTTCACATAAAGACAAAACAATAAAGACAAAAACTGCAAACCTGGCAGGAGTGATACCAAAAGTACTAGCTAACATATACTGGCACGGCCAGGCAGGGCCTGCTTTCTTGCACTGCACTCCACTGTGCTTCACGGACTGCCCGTTTTACAAACTGAGGGTCTATGGAACCTCTGCATCCAGCAGTTTCATCAGAGCCATTTTTCCAACAGCATGCGTTCACTTTCTGGCTCTGTGCCACTTTTTCTTAATTCTCACAATATTTCAAAGGTTTTCATCATTATTGTATCAGTTATGGTGATTCATAATCAGTGAACTTTGATGTTACTATTACAACTGCTTTGGGGGTACCATGAACCACACTCACATAAGATGGTGAAGACTGCGCCACTGACCATCTCTCTCCCTTTTCTGGGGCCTCCCAATTCCCTGAGACACAATATTGAAATTAGGCAACGGGGATCTAAAGTGACATCAGAATTAAGAGTGCAATTGTGCTGGGACCTCAGTGCCCAGTGCCCTCTCATTTAGGCCATCCCTGCATCCTGACACCCCTCATGATATTGCCCAAAACCAAAACATTTTCTCATGTGCTCCTTTTTCTTAGAACACCAAGCCAACTTTTCAATTTAAATTGATGATAATTTATGGTGAACATTTCCAGGGAAGTTATGTTTGAAAATATTTCCTTAAGAACATGAGATGTAACACTCTATCTTGAAATTTTCAAAGAATTCAAAATTTCAACTCTAAATAGCATAATAATGTCAAATATTCATCTACCAAAAGATAAGAAATTCTTCAGAGCCTGCAAAACACTAATTAGTTTAAATATTTTTTTCAAATACTATATATATATTTTTTTCCTTTAATGCAACAATATTTAATAAGAATCACCCATTTTTTAATGGAACTTAAGAATGTTTACGTTCATTTTAAGCCACACCTTTCACATTTAGAATTTTCTAGTCATAGTTGGAAACTTTTCAGGAATCTGAACATACAGTTCAAATGATTATTCTGAAAAGTGTGCATGTGGGAAGAACTGTCTGCTTACTAGATTCTTCTTCGATAATTCAGATGCTTAAATCATCATTTCCAAAGCAAATTTCCCAAAATCAAATAAATTGCAAAACTAGAAATGTAATCAAGACTCCAAGAAGGAGTTTCAATCCTCTGCCAAAACAGACCTCAACTTTGTAATCCCTTGTTCAAAAAAGTTGGACCAAGTATTGACGTTTTCCACCACGCAAGCCACATAGCCACAAATGTTTCTCATTTACTCCACTCCTGGGACATACAACTCAAATACAAAATTTCCTGAATACCCCAAATTTCAGATGCAATTTGGAATGCAAGTGATTCATAATGTTATTCAGAGAACATTATGATTTTCTCTTACCAACTCAATGTTTCTGGAATGCAATCCTCAAGAGACCATTCCAACCAATTAAAAGGCTGACATGTCTTTCAGCCATGTGACCCAACTATTACGCTCTCTGCCCCTAGCTCAGATGTGATTTTGAACCTAGCAATCTGCTACTCCAGCTACTGTTCAAATAACAAAGATGTGACCTCAAGGGAGTTAGCAAAGACCCTTTTGGTAACAGTGTACTCAAATCCCCTGTTAAGAAAGTGTATAACAGAAATAAAAGAAATTAAAGCCATGTCATTGCTTCTGCGGGAAATGCTGCTCACATGGGGCCTCTGGACAGACTTAGATTCTAATTAAACTCAAAAGAGAAATCTCACAGAGCCTCTAGTTACCTAAGTTCTATGCTACTCCCATCCCTACCTTATCCCACTTGTTAAGTCACTGAGAATTTCTTAGAGTACCCAAGTTGCAACTTTCATCTTTTGTAGATTCCCTAGTCTCTTTCAAAGAAAAAACACAGTTGAAAAAGAGGAATAAAAGTACTATACTGAATGCACCAAATAAATGTGAGAATTCTGTACTCCTTAGAAAATGTGAATAATAAAAGTGAGACAAGGGTAAGTGCCTACAATATGATAAAACATGGGGCATAGGAGAGCAGCAAATGTGGAGAATAAAAGATCTAGATAAACACTTACTAATGTAGTTTTTCATTAACTAAAGGTATCATTGTTAGCAAAATGTACAATTATGTGGAACTCTTAAACAAGGATTGCCCGAAGGAGTCTGAGGCATGAAGATTCTCAAACTAAAGGAATTTGAGAAAAGCTTAAAATTATTATTTACACATTGAACAGAAAAAATCTAGTTTGAGTAACATTGTTTACAAACACAATGATGGAAAACCTACCAAAACAGTGAGTTGACTAAAAATAAATTCATAGTTTTAAAGGCAATTTTGAGTTCACCTCAAAAAGCCATGAAAAGATTTGAAAATAAAATAATGTCTACATGTAAAAAAAAAAAAAAAAATCAGCTAAAATACGTGGTTGGATCAATGCATGTCATGAATAATCTAAAAAAGTAGCTTTAATATCTTTGGCTACTTTTTTTTCTTTTTTCCTGAGACAAAGTCTCACTATGTTGCCCTTGGTATAGGGCCATGGTGTCACAGCTCACAGCTTTCACCCTCAAATTCTCGGGCTTAAGCAATTCTCTTGTCTCAGCCTGCCAAGTAGCTGACACTACAGGAGCCCGCCACAATGCCCCGCTATTTTGTTGTTAATGTCATTGTTGTTTTTAGCAGGCCCGGTTCAGGTTCAAACCCACCAGTCCCAGTGCATGTGGCTGGCGCCCTAATCACTGAGCTACAGGCACCAAGCCTATGTTTGGCTACTAATGACCCAATTTTCCATACCATCTCAGATGTTTGATAAATTCATATCTCCTGTATCAATACAAAAAGAGACAGTAATAACATTATTTAATACTGATTTGTAAAATTGGTTACATGACATTAAAAAATAGAATATCCTAAATGACTATTTCATGAATACTTTAGAACTTAATTCCGTACATTGTTCCTCTTGCCACTGTTGATTTATACTTGTAATTAAATAAAATCAGTATAATCCTCAACAAATGATCAAGCTGTAATAATTTCTATAGATATAAGAATCTTCTAGAACAGGATACAAGACAGACACTCAAATACTATACTGTTATTTCCTCATTCTTTTTCCTTCCCTTCTTGCTTCTGCCAATCATACCTTCACTCCCTATTCTGCAGTTTAAAATCTAGAAGGCTGAGCTTTCACACTGATCAATTCTTCACCAGAACTCGACGTTTCCTTATGCTCTTAGTCTTCTGAAAAATGCATCTTAATTATAGAGCCACTCTAAAAACTGAATCTTTTTCTCTTCTTACCTAAAGTTCCACTGAAGGATCACTTAAGTTCAACTCACAGTTTGTATCAGAACCTCATATTATATTCAGCAATATACTAGGACACAGGGAAAGGAATTCAGTAAAACATAGTTTCCAGAAGTCAACTAGACTGAGCCACGGGGTGCCAGATAGTTGGTCTAACATTATTCTAGTTGTATATATGAAAGTGTTCTGGGATGAGATTAACATTTAAATCGGGGGACCTGAATAAAGTATATCACCCTCCATCACGTGGGTGGACCTCTCTCACATATACACACATAGATATCCCCTGTTGGTTCTCTTTCTCTGAAAAACCATGACTATCACAACACCCCCAAGAAGCTCAAAGTCTAGTCATGGGGAATATACCCCAGTAAACCTTCTCCATAAAGCCTTTCCCAAACAATAACACAGAGTATAGTACTATAAACAAAATAAACTTTCAAACCAAAAATACTATCAATAAACGCTCAGAACAAAATGAAAGTACTTAAAACCAAGATCTGGCACGGACAATATCAGACTATGTAACTCACTCCCTCAAGAATTCTCATAAAGTGAGTGATCTGGTGTTAGTTTACGGCGAGGCTTGCCCTTCCCTGCATATGCCGACGAGATGAGATTTCTCTGCTTTTATGAGTTAGTTACCATTATTTGAAGCAGGTTATTGGGAAATAAATTTAAAATAGGGAGTAGAGTTATATTAATTCATTCCCCCTAACAGTGCATAGTACAAATAAGAAGCAAATAAGCTCACTTGAATGGCAGCCAAGTTCTTCTGCTCCTGAGATGGTGCCTCGTGAACAAAGCGAAGCCAGTTGGAGTGCCGTGGGTTGGTAGCATCCAAAATGTATAAAACCTCTCCCTTACTCCCACGAACCTGAAACATAAAAGGCTCCTGAGTTTATAGCTGAAGTCAGTATTAGCCATACTAAACATATCAAGAGTAGGACATGGTATTTTTTCTCTAAGTACATACCTTTTTTTACTGATAGATGTTACATGTGGGATTAACATGCGTTCTTCCCTTAAACATATGTACAAATAGAGCCTACTAGGTCATTTGGCAAATATCTAAATGATGCACAGTCGCGATCAACTCTCAGAAACACCCTGTGTGGATAGCTATTTTCTAGTCAGAATTGTTTCTCTTTTTAGGTATATTTAAATATATATGTTGCAATCACAATTTTTTAGGGGATAATCATAACTGTAACTCTTCCCCCTTTTCTCCATAGAAGAGGGTAGGATCGCTTGTTTCCCAATTGTGGGGGGTAGGACTAGAGCAATTATTTCAGTTTCTCTCCCCACCTGCTTACTGAATCGTCTCCATAAAAGGAGAACTTGCTAATCTAACCAGGGAGAAGCTGACATACAATGGGACGCAATTTAACATAATTTAGTAGATGAATGAAACAGGTTTCACTTGGTCTTTCCATGGCCTGCTCATGGATTGCAGAGGACAGTGGGATCTCTAGTTTTGTCTCAGGCCATAAGTCCTCACTGGTCGGACTTACTCTACCTTCAATTGGATGGGAGGAGTAACTGCCAAAGGAACAGGCAGTCCATTGGACATTCCTGAATCCGAACCCTGCATTATGGGTTACTAGGCACTCGCCCAGTTTTATAAAATATGTGACCAATTTAGGAGTCCAGTGGTTAACACGCAGTACTTAATACAACATATATACCAATTCCCATTCAACTTTCATTTCATATTTATAGTCATATTTATATTAGAATACAAGGGGGGGAGCAAGTGAGTAACCCTCCAGACCTATAACACCAAGTAACACACAGAAAAAAGGCTATAAATTCACCATGGCAGATTTGGTGTAGTAAGAAACAAATTGCAGATTTCCAAACTTTCATTTTATAAAAGAAAAAACAAAAAGTCCAATAAGTTACGTATCTTTATGATACATTTGGACAATCATTCATTCAATGAATAATTATTGAGGCCTTAACTATTTAAGGAACTAAGAATCTTTCAAAGAACAACACAGAGCCCCTGACCTCACAGTACTTAAAAGTAAACATAGACTCTTAACTTCACCTTAGGTGAGCACTATGACAACAATTAAAGCAGAGTAAGGGAAAACAGAGTCCTGGGAGAAGGGCTCTATTAGATTGGATGGTCAGGGAAAGCCTCTTTGAGGAGGTGGCCTGAGAAAAGTTCTAAAGGAAGGAAGGGAATGGGCCAATGGCGAGTTAGAGAAAGTGCTTTCAAGCAGAGGGAATAGCAAGTGAAAGGCAAGTAGAAAGGCCTTGAGTTTGAAACCGAGTTAGGTGTATTCAAAGACCAGTAGGAAGGTGGTGGTGCGAGAAGGGGAGGAGCAGTAGAGAAAGTGGTGGGTGCTGAGAACAGACAGACTGGCAGCTGACACAGCGACACCCCTACCTCAGGACCAGGAAGCCACCTACATAGTTACGTTGAATATATATAGTCATTTTAACCCACAATCTGTTATGAAAACATCTGCTACATACACTACAAAAATTAATAGTTCAAGATTCTAACATACTCGTCCAGGAAATAATAGTTAGCCTGCTCCTACTAGCTGATAGACTATCATGCTTCTCAAACAATTCCTATATTTTTAAAGCCCCAAAATTCTCATAATCATTTTGAAAACCCGTCTTCTGAAATGCCAAACCCTCATTGGGAAGGAAGAATTTAATTTTTAATAATATAATTGCTAAAAGAAGAACTGAGAACTATAAACACCTCATGTGTATACATGCTTCTTTCTGTGTGAAACTATGGGCATTTGTAATACTTCTCACTAAATAAAAAGCCCACACGGAGGATGTGCTCTGGGAGGCACCTGAAACTGCCCTCCTCTCTGCTCACCCCCAACTCAGGACCCTCCCTGCCCACAGGGAGGGGGGCCAAACACCCAGCAACATGGCCAGGACAGACAGAGAGCAGCTCCACATCTCCCCCCAAGAGGATGCCAGCTCGTCTTGCTTTTGGCAGAAGATTTGGGTGTAAAGTCCCTCCTTTCACGTATCTGCATAGCTACAGTAACAAAACCATTTACACTGAGGAGCTGCTAAATAAAGCAGAGCGCATAGCAAGGCCACTAGATATTTGAAAGAGAAAAATTTCTCAGAACTGATACCTAAAACTTAACAACTATTGCTGAATCCACACAAGCCAGGAACTTTATGTAGAGAAAAACCAGTGGGTTGCTCCTGGCATATCTCCGTTTGAGAGGCTGAGAAACTCATTTACGGCCCCTCATGGTCATACGTTTGGTACCCAGTATTAAGTACAATATATATCAGATGTGCTTGATATTTGGAATTCTTTCTTCAAAGACGTGAAACATGACAAAGATTTCCCTGTGGCTTACTATACCACGCACATGTGAATTTTTGCCAGGGGCATTGTTTGTTCTTCATGTACTTCAACTTTTTCTCAGGCCCTTTCGCTCTAACTATGTTTAATCACTCAGTGTTAGTCACCTATTTGCCTCTTAAGTCCCTTAGGTGTATATACTTTCTGGCTATTCCCTTGTCACACAATATTCCATTTTAAGAAAAATGCATAAGTTAACTTATCATAAAATTTATATTATCATAAAATTCTGAAATGTATTATTTTCAATGCATACAAATTTACACACCTGATTTATAATCACTAAATTCTCATAATAGCAGTGTCATACCCAAATAATGTACTGTATATATTGCCTGTGTATTCATATTTGGAATAACCTCCTTTGTTCATTAACAGAATCACGGTTCACTTTATTCCGAACACCCAAACTTTTAAGTTCCTACACAGTCTCTTCTCCTTCTAGCCTATGAGCTTTCTGGTCATATAGCTGGTCACTCCATCCTGCCTCCCTCCCTGTCTTAAACACTTGGCTGTCCGATTACCTGCAGGCGTAACTCTCATCTTCCCGCCCTAACCACAGCTTTCTGCTCACTGACACATCCTCTGAAAGAGACATTCAAAAATAATCTGATACATCCTTCTTCTTTCCAGCAAAGCCAAACCCAAACATCTCCAGACAGATGGCTATCATTAAAGCCTCCATATCTGTTTTAATTTGATAGTAACCCCAATGTAATAAATCGAACATTTTTAAAACCTAAGGAATAGAGAAGAT